TAGATACTTAATATTTTTTTGGATCCTTGTCCCTCCAGCCTATTTCTTAATAAATTGTGGACATAGACCGATTTAAAAAAAAGCATTTCTAATAATGCGGTGGTCGCTTCTAGATAAAAATTTGTTCTGCCTATATTTGTTAAATCATAATGCTTATTATCAGCCCGATTCGAAAACAAATAATACATTACCTATATAATAGGTACCTATAATATGTATAAAACGTGAAATTCCAAGGTTTAAGAAGTATAATACTATGTATTATATAATTTATCAATTATATATTTGAGTATTATACACGTCCCAACACTGATTTATGTTCAGGTCTTTAAAAAATAGTCTATAAGTGATGATAAATTACATTTCATAAATTAATTAATATGTTTATTAATGATGTAATAAATACATAAAGTATTACACTCCCACATTAATACCAATTCGATATGTAACTATACGTTATTTTTAGAACAAATATTTAAATCTCCGTATTAATATTTTTTATAGTTTAATTTTCAATTTTAATACAATAATACATTGATATAACCGTATTGACAAATGTGAAATGAAAATGACAGGTTTCTTTATCTACTTTTTAAAATGGTTTTTTTTTACATAGATTATTTAAATTTTTTAGCGTTTTAAATTTCCAAAATATCCGGTTTTTTTTAACTTTAAGAAAACTTCTTTTTTTCAGAAATGCATTATTTTAATATTCTCCAATTTTTCCACGTTTTCCGAGGCTCTGGAAAAAAAACGGTTTTTCCCGAAATTTTCCCGATTTTTCCGGCATTTTGATCCCTAATAAAAACTAATAAAATAATATAATGATCAGTTTTCGGCAACATCAATTTTGTTGTTTTTTTAATGCGATTGTAAAACACGTTATTGTTTTTAAATACTTCCATTTTCTCAAAATGTATATTAGCAGGATGTTATAGTTTCCAAAATGAATCTATAAATTATATAACATCATTGTATACGAAAAACGATTCTGAGTGGAGACGGTTTATCAGTGACCATATTATATATTATATTGTTTTTACTTATTATTAATACCGTAACCGGTAAATTCAATTAATATATTATAAAATTACAAAAAATAACTGAAATCGTATGTATAATACATATTACCTACTGAGAATCTTAACCTGTTCAATGGACCAACTACATTCAATTTCCCATCGAACAAGATACTGAAGTTAAAAACTTAAGCATTATTTCGACTACTTACCGTGTATACAAAAAAAAAAAACACGCATCAAGGTAAATTCAATACATTCATAGCTCCTCTCAGAATCTTAAATGCGATACTGCACCTACCTAAACATCATAAAAACAAACCAGTATTACAATTTAAGAAAAAATTTTTCTTCTTTTATGGTGGAGTGATAAGTAGGTAGTTACCCAAAAAGAGTTTACCCCAGTGATAAAAAAGGTTCGGCCCCACTGCTGGTATGAGTACAATTATACATTTATAATATGAAAGACAGTGGTATGACTAAAAATAATAGCCTATCTATCACGCCGTCCCAACAACATTTTATTATTGAAAATGTACATAAATATTTACAGTAAATAACTGAAAAGTGAAAACTGACCGAACTACTAATCGTCTAGACTCTAGAGTCTAGACAGTATTTTATTTATTTTCTAAAATTTTGTTATTTGCACAGCTGGTTGTAAATTTATTTAGTTTTAAAATTGTTTTTTTTGAGCTTAGTCTTAAAATAATATTGTTAATTGATTGGAAAAAAAATTCATAATTTTCAAAAACATATTTTTTCAAGTCATAAATCATACCTACATTTAAATATATTTTAATTTGCATTAAGAATTATTCATACATCTAATGGAGTACAAGATTTGTTAGTTGCTAATCAATGATTATTATTCAATAATCATATCAAACGTTGGCTAATGTAACATTAATGTTTAATCAAATTTATTATATGTTTATAATATTATTATGGCACTATTCTATTGCTAGTTGGGGTTTGAACAATATGTCCATTTTATGGGTATATATGTAGGTTTAAGACATTCCTTACAACAAAAAATAAAACCAAAAACAGTTTATCACCAGACATGAGGGTATCAGAGTATAATGAATGAAACAATGAACTCGACAATTGTCATTTTATCGAATTCAAAATATATATTTAGTACATTTATCATTATTTCCCAATGGTTCTACTAAACCCGGTCGTTGTGGTCGGTTATATTATTATCAGTTATCATGTTCTTGGTGTTCACTTAGGACTTCCAAGTTTCCGACAGCCTGTGTGATTGTGTACAGTGGTATCCGCAGGGGGGAGGCTAACGGGCTCAACCCCCCCCCCCCATTGCCCATATAATTATTACTTTTTCAAAATAATATTAATCAAGTTTAAACTGTCAACTATAGTAAATCTCATATATGTCTGACCAGAATGAATTCATTTTTGAAAAAACATTGTATTTGCATACCCAATTTTAATAAATTATCTGTAACTTTTCGGTAAAAGTATGAACTACTTGTATGAAAGACCTTGTATTAAATTCTAGTCTAGCCTTAGATATATATATTTTATATTTTATAAGTTTTAAACTACAAATTAACCGTGGTTTTGACGAAATTTGAACTTTAAATGCTTATGAAAAATAACCATGATGCCTATATATTGTTAATATTTTACTATTATAGCTATAATAAAAAAACTTACGTATTACATTTTTAAGCTTTTTTACCGGATAAATAATTTTTTATTGACATTTATTGGAAAAAATTTTTAATTAATCAAACACAATCCAAGTTAAAACGGTATAACCAGGCTTGTTACCAAACAATTTAAATACATTTTCATTTTTTTTTCTCCAACTATTTTTAAAAGCACTAAGAATTTTCAATTTCGACCTCCTAAAAGTACTAACTAGATTCAATTTGCTCCCAAAAACATACACTGGGCATTGAAGCTTATGATCAGAGCATTTTTTCTACCAGAAGAGTTGAAAAGTTACAAACATTTTAAAATACCCCAAATAAACGTCTGCAATTATTAGACTGGACAAAATAAAAATTAAATTGTAACTAATTTTCAAGCCCCTCCCCCCCATTGAAAAATACTGCGGACAGATTGTGTATGCCGTATATTATTATATAGTATAAGCACTGCAGTACACACCGACCGACCTGTGTTTTATACTTATATATGTATAATCTGGTAGGGAGACACTATTCCCAATCTGTTTTTCACATTTTTTTTTCCCAAAAGTTCTTTTTCTCAATACCACTTTTCCCAAAAGTTATTTTTCACAATACCATTTTTCCCAAAAGTTATTTTTCACAATATCAAATCTATCATTATACGATCTTACCAAATATAAGAAATTATTTATTGTTAATTTTAAAATGTATAAGCATGTATTAAAAAAAGTAGTTAAGATTATTAAATTATTAATTATTATACAAATAATTAACAAATTGTTAATTTTAAAATAAATAAATAAAACTGTATTAAAATTTTAAATTATGACCAATGGCTGTGAGATATGCAATAATATCATTGTTATTAACAAATTCGTCATACTTTGAAACAATATTATGTATTCGTTCCTCTCAGGGCTGGATCAAGGGGGGGGCTGGGGGTGGCTATAGCCCCGGGCCGCAAGTTGAAAGGGGCCACAGTGTGTCAACTAATTTTTTTTCATAACATTATTATAACTTATAAATTTTAAATTTATGTCATATGAAAATGGACTATGGACTTGGATACTTCATTGCCGACACACAAGACCCAATTATAGGTATAGTGTTCGTCGCTTCTTGCAACTCGTTATCGTCGTTATCGAACGGGTTTCCGGCCGATCCGTCAACTCGAAAAATATAATCGGTTAAATTTATTTTTAAACCTAGTACATTACACGTTCTATGAACGACAAACACGTACTTTTGAATGGTCTAATACAGGAAAAAACAAACGTAAAATTATTCAAAAATATTCGGATGGTAAACACTTTTTTTGTTATCATTGATAAATTGCAAAACCAAATTAAAAAAACGTAGCTCAGCTTATGACAATATAACAAACCTTTTTGGATTTTTGACTCGCTTGGACGTGATTGATGATAATTTATTGAAAAAATCCGTAAATAATTTAGTCAATGTTTACTCTCGTGATCTAGAAGAAAGTCTATACGACGAATTGAAACAATTCATTGGTATGGTTAAAGTCAAGGAAGATAATAAATTAATAAAAAACCCGGTTAACATGTTACAAATTATTGTTGAAGATAATCTCTCGGGCGTTTTTCCACATATTTATGTAGCGTTCCGAATTTTTTTAAGTATATCAGTTACCAACTGTGAAAATGAACGATCTTTTTCTGCACTAACAATAATTAAAAATAAATATCGTTGTATGATGGGTGAATCAAGACTGACATCTCTATCTATTCTTTCAATAGAGTGTGAATTGACTATGAATATTTCATTTGAAAATATTATAAGACAATTTGCCCAGGAAAAATCCAGGAAAAAGTTTTTCAAACATAATATTATATAAGATTAAAAATATATATGTATATTTTTTTTATTGCATATACCAAAAAATGTATAATATGATATAAGAATACAATGTTATTTAAAAACAATTCTATACTTATTTTAATTTATATTTATTACAAATTAATAAATCAGAAAAAAAAAAGGAAATTGTTTTAGGTGTAATAAAAGTAATATCCCCCCTTAAATTATGACCATAATCCGGCCCTGGTTCCTCTACTTTTAGTCGTACCATATTACGACCCTTCCTTATTTTTTGTCCCAGATTTAGTTGTCGTAACATGCACTCAGTGTCGGCTTTTTCTTTGCCAAGTTCAGTGAAAAATGTATAGACGCTTGGATGTTGTCGTCCGACAACCAGGGAGTAAAAACGGTTTTGAAACCAGTTTTGAAAACCGGGTAACCCGAAAAAAATTGAAACCGTTTTCAGACCCGAAACCCGAAATTTCTGGATACGTTTTTACTCCCTGCCGACAACCACTTGGAACCGATTATGCCAGCCTTCTGACAAATTATTAGTTCTTGCCAATCGTTGTAGTACTGCATGGTACTGGTTCCACAATGTTGGAGGGAATCTGGGTTCGGTTCCTTTTCTCCGACCTCTAGCTTGTCTCCCACGAATGTAATTTATCTACATTAAATATTTATATTATATTATTTTAGTATTTTAGTATTTATATTATGTTTATTTAAAAAATATTGTATTAAATAAAATATAAGCATTTGTTTTATTATATTATAACGTTATGTATAAAGTTATAAAAAATTACCTCAAAATATTCTGCAATTGGCATATAGTCATCTGGTACTTTTTCTAGTAATTCATCAAACGTTTCAACTACTTTTTCTGGTGGCACAAATGCTAAAGCACCGGTCATCTGTGCCGCGATCTTTATGCTACGGTTTTCTGGATTATTATACTGACTTTGTAATCCTTCTGCCTGGATACGACGATAAAAACTTTGACAAAGATGAAATAAACAAGCATGTATTTCAACTCCAATTATTTTCTTCGTTGCATTTATTATTGATTGTTCAAAATCCGTCATCACAAATTGTTGTCTTCCAATATTTATTCCAAATTTGTGTGCCTCTGAAAGTATAACTTCATATTCTTTAGAATACGCTGCTTCTTCTTTTGACTCCAGTAATGCGTACACCAACGGGAGTTCACTAACTTGATCAGTTCCATTATTTTTCTGTGTGGTGGGTCCTAGTATGGTAAACAACTGAAAAAATATTGTTGGGACAACTTTAAATGTTCCGTCGACAAACCAGGTTGGGCTATTCATTAAAAGTCTCAAATTGTCTTTTGTTGCAAAAATTATTATTCTACCAAATGTTAACTGATAATCAATATCTTCAAATGAATCGTATAATAAAAATTGTTCTCCTGTTATGGTTTGTTTAAACTGAATTGGAAATTCATGCAATTCGTTCATACTTTGAGCTAAAATTCCAGATTTTACTTGTTGCAATTCTGTTCTCAATATTTGTGCTGGGGGTGCTTCAGGATGTTCACTAGCTTTTCTTTTTATATCTGTCATAACTTTTATGGCATTAACTTCTTCTAAATTCGGTGCGTGGTCATGTATAGAATTTTCAGGGCCTTTATGGACTATTATATTTTTTCCAGAATTACTTGTTATAGCCAGAGCACCTTTTTTACGACAACACCAATAAATTCGACCTTGGTTTTCCGAATGTTTATAATAGAGATATCCGTCAATATGCAGAAGCTTTCCTCTTCCATTGGAATTTATAATTTCGGCCATAATTTTAATAATACTGTAATAGAAAATTACAATTAAATATACCTACGTAAGTCAATTTACGAAAAATCACTCATCGAGACAACTACTGTCAAAATGACACTAATCCAGGTAGGTAAATAACAAGGACATTCGATAATCGATATCGACCATTTATCCGATTAACCAAGCAATAAAAATGATTACATACGCGTACCACTAGTCTAGACTATTATCTTAATGGCATGACATGACTGCACACAAATGGCTTACAAAAATAAGATAAGGTTTTTTTTTGGGAAATATTAAATTTGTAAAAATATATATTGGTATAATATATTTATGGTAAATATTGAAATTGGAGAAATTAGATTGGGAATATTAGATTTGGGAAATAGTTGGGAAAAATTGATTGGGAAAAACGGATTGTTAAAACTGTACTACAATCGTATAATCCATATACTATATAGGTATTAGCAATTCGATAAAAGTGGACGGGTTCGGCGAGCAAGCTATCAAATGCTAGTGGGTGGTGGGTGTGTAAATGTGTATATACTATATGTGTATGCTTAACAATAATGACAGAAAGGTAATAAAAACAATGGTAACTAAATTATAATAGTAATTAAATTGCTGTATTACTATTAAGATGACACTAGATATAATATAATAATAATGCACCAGCGCACAGCAACACGACAATATGAAATATAATAATAATTAAGCACGGCCCTTAAGCCAAAACAGTACAATATGTTTAATATGTTTAATATGTTTCATGTGGCCCTCCTGGCCCAACAGAGTAAAATATAGGTATAGCCACCGTTGTTTGAGCAGTACGCTCTTATAAACTATAATAATTATAATAATATGTATAAAATCTTAGTGCACGGCTGGCTAGCACCTAGCTTAGGTACTACCTGTGCCTGTATAAATAAATTGACACAAATATAATAATAATATATGGCGACTCGAGCCTTTCACAGAATAGGGCATAGGTAGGTAAAAATATATGTATAATGACTCGCGCCTTTGAATAATAAGGGTTTAATATTATAATATAATTTATAAACGGCGACATGAAATAATAATTTTCGGGTCTGTTGACACCGGTCGGTGGCTGTATTTCATAATTAGATTATCTACATTTATCTCATTCATATATTACATAATAATTCACGAACTACACAATTAACATAGACAAATAAAATATACAATAATGTGTGTTTTGTGTGTGTGTGTGTGTGTGTGTGTGTGTGTGTGTGTGTGTGTGTGTGCGTTTCTGTCAACCTTTCGGTGGTGGAGTGGTAAGTACGAGGCATTTATCAATAGGTGCATATATTATTCGTTGCCAAGGCAAGCCCGCAGAGAAGCAGCTCACTAGATGCAAAATACTTTTATTGTCAATATAAGCTGTGGGAGTCTTTGCCCAGTGTCGGCAAGGCACCCCTCCCCCATTCCCCGTTCCCTAACCCCAGGGCCTAAAATTGTGTGCAGTAGCTAATATTAAATGTGCAGTAGCAAATTTAAAAGTATGCAGTACTTATTTTCTGCTTTTTTACATTTTTATTTGATTAATATTCAATATTTTAGATTCTAAGTGGATCGATGAATGTATAGATTTTACAATGATGTGTGTGTTTTTTTTTATTGTTGTGTGTGTACACAATAAGTAGGTAGTCGAAATAATGCTTCGATTTTCAACTTCAGTATCTTGTTCGATGGGAAAGTGAATATTGTTGGTACATTGGGGAAGTCAAAATTTAAATTCCCAGTAATTTTCAAAAGCTCCGTGAAACACAAAAGAAAAATTAAGGAAAAACGGGAATTTCTACTCCAAATCGACTTAAGTTTTTGATGTAACTTTAAAACAAATGACCGTAGATACATGCAATTTTAACTGGTTGTTTATATTTGCAATTTTCTATACAAGGTAAAATTTTCAAAATATTTTGATTTGGTTTGAACTGTTTAGGAACATTTTCTGTTTCCAATTTTATAAGTTTTTTTTCTATGAATGTCAATAAAACTTTATTTATTGAGTAAAAATAATTAAAAATGTAATACAAAGCTCCTACTATATTGTTACAATGACATTTGAAAAATATTAAAAATCCTTAGTCACATTTTTTTTTTTATAAACATTTAGAGTTCAAAAATTGACAAAACGTGGAACAATCACGAAAATTAACAAATTATATTGAGTTAAGAATACGTTAAAATTTTTCTTTTGAAATCTAAGATTTTAAAATGTTATACAAGATTTCTTATAAGATTTTATAATTGTATCAAAAAAATAATGTCTATAAGAAAGTAAAATTAATTTTTTTTTAGCGTTTGAATTTCAAATTTTTACAACATTGGATATTCACTCGATTTCTCATGTAGCGATTTTCTTATTTTGTTGTAATTCCATAACGAACAACTGTAGATACGTGAAAATTGCACTGTATGTTTATTTTATCAATTCTTATACTTGACAACATTTTCAAAATATTTTTACTTGTTTTGAGCTGTTTACGGAAAATTTCATACTTCAATTTATTTATTTTTTTTACTAAGAATATCAATAAAGTTTTATCTGTTTTACTAAAAAGTGTAACAATTTAATACAAGGCTTCTGATATATTGTTACAATATCAGTTCAAAAATATTAAAAATACATAGGCACAATTTTTTTTTTATAGGCATTTAAAGATCGAATTTTAAAAAAATTTATCAAATTTAAAATTGAATAATTATTTTGTAGTTAAAAATTTATAAAATGTTCAACTTTTATATCTAAGGAATGAAAATTTAAAACAAGATTCCACGTAAGTAGTTAATTATGTTACCGACAAATCTAAAAAAATACATAGATAGGTATAATTTATTTTTATAGACATTTTAAGTTCAAATTTAAACGAAATTACATACTAAAAACCTAGAATAACTGTATATATATATTTGTGGGTACTTGAAACTTCTAAAGTATGCTATTACTTTATCTATGATAGTATAATGGTTTGTTGTTGATGTATAACGTGTTATATTTTACCTAATGGATATTGTGATATGATTAATTTGGAATTTATCATAGGTACCTAATATAGGTCAATTTTTTTTTAATACCATAGATTAGTATATAATTATTTTTTTTTTTATTTATAATAAGCCTTAACAACAGAGGTTATTGGCTACAAACATAAATATTTTTAACATAAGTATGAAGAATTAATAATTGTACATAACATAATAATAGTAGTATAAAATAAAGAGATATTGAAATATGTCTAGATTATATTAGTTGGTATAATTTAGTTAATTTTAAATAAATAAATATTTTTTTTATGTTGATTGGCTGTGGACTTAGAGCTTTTTCCAGGTTATCTTCTATGTTGAGCTTGGATCTGATGTCGGAGAATTTACCTTAGTGGCATATTAGGTGTTCCACCGTGGAGGTTTCACTGCAAGTTTTTCATTGATGAGGTTCCGATCTGTTCATGAGGTGTTTATGAGTTACCCATATGTGACCTATCCGGAGCCTGTTGAGAATTACTTCCTGGCGTCTTGGTTATGAGAAAAATGGCCATGGGGAGACTGTGGGTTTTATTTTATTGAGCTTGGTGTGGAGTGTTGACCACAAGATTTGCCATTGAGTTAAAATGTGGTTGTCAATGATAGTTTTTAAATCCTAGAAGGTATAGGTGTGGATTTGGTAAGAGAAAGGGAGGTGATGACCTCTTTTAGTCTTTTCCATATGTATTAACCAATTCATTTCCCTGTATTCTGACGTGGCTAGGTACCCAGCAGAGAATGATGATCTGTGCATTGATTTTGAGAAGGTGTATCTGATTTTGGATTTTTCTAGATATACTGTTGCATTGGTGTATATTTAGAATACCGGTTAGGGTGCTGAGAGAGTAGCTAAAGATTATGGCTTTATATATTTTATTTTCATATATGATATCGAGAGCTTTTGAGATCGCACTGACGTCGGCTGTGAAGACTGAGCAGAAATCTGGTAGCTTGAACATTTGTTTTATTTATTTATTTATTATTTGTTTTATACAATGATATTATATCACTGAATTCAAATGTTATACAGCTGAGAGTAAATTTTCAAGGCCGCGACACACGAGAAATAAGACGAAAGTGGGTAACGAATAACGATTTATAATAACATTATTGGTTGCCTAGCAAGGAAATGAAGAGATATTTAATTAAATTAGATTAGGGTAAATTAGATAGATTAGAAATCTGGGCAGAAGTTGGCTAATTTCAAAAGGGAGAGGACCATCTACGGGTGTTGATCAAACAAGGATTTTAAGATTAAATTTCCTATATAAAATGTTGTTTATAAATAGTCGCCATTGCCCATGGGTTTTGAAGCTATTATTATTTATTATTATAATGATTACCTACTATTATTATTATTATTATTATCATTATTATTATTATTTATGATAACTTAATAATTCTCTGCAAACACAAATAATAAAAATGAATCCTCTATGACAGTAAAAACTGTAGATTGTACATTAATAGTTTGATATCATCACGACTGTTTTCACCGAAGTTTTACTTCTATGACCTGTGCCTGCACAGAATTTGCTTTTTTAAAATTTTAAATGCAATTTCCAGCTTTAAATGTTATTGTTTTACAATACAATTCAAATATGAATATAATTGTATAACAATACAATAAATAATTCACACCTACCATTCCAAAACCTACAGTACCAACCCCCCTCCCAATGGCCTAATTAATAAAAAAAAAAAATAAATAAATAAATAATTCATAGTTTTAGGTTTATAAGTGAACAATAATAATAATTATACTGTCATAATATTTTATTTTATACAGTATACACAAATACATTATTATTATATTGATTGGATCAAACATACCTACCCATAATAATGTACCACAGTTAATAATTTAAGATGAATCGCTTGTCGCTACTGCCGTCAATTTTAGCTACCTTAAGTTAATTAAAGTTGGTTTACGTTGTCCTATTTATATTCTGAAAAACCGGAACTCA